CGCCGCGGCGGGTCATCGTGCAGGCGTCCACGGGCGAGCTGCTGCGCTGCCTCGGCGATTTCGTGTGCCGACGCTGCTACCGCCTCAAGGAGCTGAGCCCCGGCGAGCTGGTGGGCTGGTTCCGCGGCGTGGACCGCTCGCTGCTGCTGCAGGGCTGGCAAGACCAGGCCTTCATTACGCCCGCCAACCTGGTGTTCGTATACCTGCTGTGCCGCGAGTCGCTGCGCGGGGACGAGCTGGCGTCGGCCGCCGAACTGCAGGCCGCCTTCCTCACCTGCCTCTACCTCGCCTACTCCTATATGGGCAACGAGATCTCTTATCCGCTCAAGCCCTTCCTCGTGGAGCCCGACAAGGAGCGCTTCTGGCAGCGCTGCCTGCGCCTCATCCAGCGGCTCAGCCCGCAGATGCTAAGGCTCAACGCCGACCCCCACTTCTTCACGCAAGTCTTTCAAGACCTCAAGAACGAGGGCGAGGCCGCGGCAGGCACCGGGGGTCCACCGAGCGGAGGCGCGTCCACCACCTCTTCCTCGACCGCCAGGGACAGCTGCGCGGCCGGAACCAAGCATTGGACTATGAACTTGGACCGCTAGGGATTCCCAGGGGCCGCGCCCGCCCCCCGCCCCAGCCCCTCACACACACCCGGAAGCCCCGGGACCATCAAGCCTCCGCCGCTATTATCGCCGCTCTATGCCCAGGCTGGGCCGAGGAGGAGCCACCCCTGCCCCGCAGGGGAAGGTGGAGGCTAGGACGCCAGAGGCCGCGGTGTCTGGATTTGCTGGGCGTGGGGTGGGCGTGGGGGATGATCGCGGGAAGGGCACCCCCAACTTCGTTCACCCTTTTAGTCTGTCTGCGCCTCCATCTTTCCATTTCTGCCCGGGTCTTCCTCTCTTCCCTGCTGTGGCCATCTCTAAGTTCATCACCCTGGGTTTTGCCAGTTCCTCACCTTTCTGTTACTTCATCCTTCCTTCTCTCTGCTGCCTCCTTCTCCCTGCCTTTTCATTGGTTTCCCTGGGCTTTCCCCTTCCCCACCTTACCCCCGAGCCCGATGGTACCCTGTTGCCTGCCCTTGCTTCTCCTGCACCTGTGTTGCCATGTATCCTTCTTGTTCTTATTCCTTCCTCCTGTCATGTGTCACCACCTTCTCCCCTGTTTGTCTTGCCTCTCTACTTGAGTCATCCTGCATCCCCCCAACCCCCGCCCCCAGATTCTGCACTCCTCTCCCCAGATCAAAAAGACCCTTAGTTTTTTATTTGGATGGACTGAAATGAGACAAGAATCTGCAGTCCCAGGTGCCCAGGCAAAGATCAGGGTGGTCTTTTCCCTCACCCCCACAGTCTCTCCCCACCTTTCCAACGTGTTGCATGCTGGGAGTTAAGGGGGGAAAGGCTGATGCCTTCACTCAGGAGGCTGAGATTTGAGGGCAAGATCTAACCTGGTAGAGTACCTCGCTTGCAGCGGTGGTGTCTTCTCTGTGGATGGATAGAAAGAGAAAGAAACCTCTTCTTACCCTGGGGGAGGGGCGCCCTCTTCCTTAACCTTAGATTTCTTGTTATATCCCCTCCCCACACTTTAATTTATTTCGCTGTTTTAGGAGGGAGGGTGGGTGGGGAGGGGGCTGGGCCGGGAATTGTCCGAGGTGCTGAGCTGGGCGGGACCGGAATCCTCCTGGGAGAGTACCAGGAACTGGGTTGGGCCTGGGGCCGTGTCCAAGGTGCCAATGATGCGGGCCGACGGCGCGGGCCGCACTATCTGTCTGTCCGTTTGTCCTGGAGAGAACTATAAAGCGCTGGAAGCGCCTACAGATGGTTTTGCGCCGGCCTTTCTTTGGGTCCATGGAGGGTGGAAATGAACGGGAGTAGGGGTGAAACTCAGGGGCAGGATAAGAGCGTGAGAAATGGGGGTCTAGAGGGGAAAGTCAAGTCCCTGAAAACTGCAACCTGCTACATGCCCCCACTGGCTTTCATTTTAGAGTGAAACGTATTAAGCCAAGGGTTGAGGCTGAATCCACCTCCCCATCCTGACCTCCATCTTGTCTGCTGTAGCTCCTTATTAATGCTCAGGCTACTTACGGACAAACCAAACGGTAAGGACAGCAGAAGTCATTCCCCTTCTATGAGGTGACCCCTGAGACAGAAGTGGCTGGCCACGATAACTGATTTTTTCCTCCCTCATTCTTCCTACCATATATTAGATCAGGAGTCTAGGCAGGCCTGACTAAGCCTGTACCTCCCTCTCTCATTTGGGAACTGAATACCAACCCTATGTAACCAATCACTACGGAATTGCACTGAGGCTGCTTTGGACACACGCCTAGCCAGAGTAGTCTTTGGAGACCCATCCTTGCTGGAGACTCAGACCTTGACCCTTGACCCCCAGAACAGTGCACATATAGGCAGAAACAAAAAGGAAGACGAAAGCCATTCCGAATGGAAAGAAAGGAGGAAATAAGCCATTTGGCTACAAATCCCTGCTTAGTCTCCTCGATTGCCTTCTTAGTTACACAGCGAAACAGCACATTCAGTGTTGCGTCCGCTTTAGGAGGACTGATTTCTGGCAGAACGTTTGCGGTTGCGAACGAACGCGATCGCCACTGAGGCCTTGGAGATCCATAAAGAGTTCCGGGAGGGGCCACCGGAAAAAAAAAAAAAAAAAAAAAAAAGGGCCTCGGGCTCGCTGTCCGTGGTGCTGAAGAGTGCGTTCGTGCAGGGTGGGGGCTTGCACTATGCGCAAGAGAGAGGGACTCAGCCTCAGCTAGATCTTCTGAATAATTTAAGAGTGGGGTGTAAGCTATTCTGGCGGCAAGTTACAGAAGTCTGTCCCAAGAACCCAGGAATGTTGCCTCCCCCTTGCCCTCCTCAGAGGACCGGACTTGGCTTTCACCTGGCCTGTACCCATAGCCCAAGTACCCGGCCTGGAGGCGGAAATCCTCGGTCCAGATTTGTGAATCGAGTTCTCGGGGCGGGCGGGGGGGGGGGGGAGAAGGGAGGGGGGAGCTAGCGGAAGAGAAGGCGGGAGCAGACGCCTATTGGTTGGAATTTGGCGCAGTCAACGCGGTGCCGTCATCTCTCCGGATTTGGGAGGAGGGAAGGAGGATCACTTGGGTCACTTCGCGGCTGTCGCTATGGTAACCAGACTGAGCGGGCGGGGCCACCTTTCCACTCTCCTACCTTTGGGTAGGGAAAGCATCCTGCTTTTCCTAATTTGGAACTAATTACTGAGACTAGCTACTTGATTGGAATTTCAGAGTTAGAGTAGCCTAAACGAGATGAGGAAGAGACCCGAAAGCTGATGGAGAGCCTTAAAAATCTTGCCCTTGGGAGGCTTAAGATACTGCCCCGAACTCATATACATGAGTTCTTTCTACTCGCAACGGCACCACGCGCGTGCGCTCACACATACACGCCCTCATGTGCCTCTTGGAACCTGTGGTCTAGCACTGAAGAACTCAGATGAGAAGGCGAAAAAAAAATCGTCAGTGAGGAGTGTCAATTTGCTAGGTCCCAAAGCCAGAGATACTGCCATAATCCGATTAGAACTGGGGGTGGGGTTCTGGGAGTTGATCAGCTGGACTGCAAGGAATAATGAGCCTTCCGGGTTACATTTGCTCAGAGTCCTGTTTTCTCTGGGTGGAGGGCAATAGGAAGAAGCGCCCACAGTAGTCTCTGAGAAGCCTAAAGGCGAACTGTAAATGAGGGAGGAGAAGAGCAAAGAGCCTTATCTTTCTTGCCAGAGATTGAAGTTGGGGGGAGGGGGGCGCATCCAGTTTGGTGAAGAGGATCTAAAACTCTCTGGAGAGCTCAGACTAATGGAAATGGAGGTTTGGAGACGGAAACCCAACTGGAGCCATGACTCAGCACTTCCTCTTGCAAAGGACCAAGGCACGCGGCCTGGGAAGAGTGGCGAGCCTTGAGAAATGAAATAGGTGGCTAACAAGAGACTTACCGCTTTGCACCACGTATACATCAGTACACAGCCAAAGGCGTATATTTTACTTCAAGCAGACATGAATGCATTTATAGTGGTGAAGGCTCCTTCAATTATATTATATACATACGTGTGCTCTCCCCTTCCGTGCCGCCCTTGCTGAAGCAAAGGGCATTCTGTCCTGAGAGTCATGCTTGCCTGTCCCCAGAATACCTTAGTACTTATTGGAAGAAGAGAAATGTAAAAATATAAATAAATAAATAAACGTTCAGATATGGGAGGGTGGTTGTCATGGAAACCCCTTTGCCTGCCAGCCAGGGTGCCCAGCAACCAGAGTGCCTGGCAGTATCCAGGAGGGTATCCCATGGCCTCTGCACGCTGGTACCCTGCCTCAGGCATTCAGATGTGTACTTCTGGAAAAGTTCTGCCAGGAAGTTTCCCAAAACAATGTTCCCATCCCAGTCAGACCAACAGAATATCAGGGCTAGCTAGAAGCGATGGATAGGGATCCTTAAAGTGGTCCCTTCTTTAAGCACCCCTTTTAAAATGGCGTTCTCTCTTCCTACCGTTTGGGGTCTTACTATGCAGCCAGGACTACCCGGGAACTCTGTGTAGACCAGGCTAGCCCTGAACTTGAGGCACTCCTGATTGTCTTTGCCTCCTGAGTTACAGGCAGGTACCACCATACCTAGCTTTGAGTAGTGTTCTTCACTCCGTTATATGTAACTGTCGATAATTGCTGTGAGTGGCCTCTAGAACAGCAAGAACACTTAACCACTGCCTCATCTTTTCCACTCCCCACCCCAAGCTTGTCTCCTGGGCAGTCTGCTGCCCTTAAGATCTCTTTCTGCTTGGAGATATTGCCCATAATAATTATTGGCTTCTCTTAAAGTGCCATTGCCATTTCTTCAGGCCTCTTAGTGGTCTATGGTTAATGTTTAGCTTAAGGACCACAAACTTTAAAACTAGTCTTTCTATATATTTTATGTATGGCAACCTAAAAGTCAGGAAGAGTAATGATGAAAATATAAACACAGAAATAAATTCTCCTTACAAAGCACACTTCTTGCTTGATATTCCACCAAGGGGCGGGGGGAGAAGGGTAGGACAGTATGGAGGTTTACAGTTATTTGGGAGGCCGAGGTTGGAAGATTCTCTGAGCCTAGAGGACCAGCTCAGCCTGCATAACATAGTGAGACCCTCAACTCAAAAATAATCAAACTCGGGACTGGAGAGATGGCTCAGCAGTTAAGGGCATTGCCTGCTCTTCCAAAGGTCCTGAGTTCAATTCCCAGCAACCACATGGTGGTGGCTCACAACCATCTGTAATGAGGTCTGGTGCCCTCTTCTGGCCTTCAGGAATATTGTATACATAATAAATAAATATTAAAAAAATAATCAAATTCATTCACATATTATCCCAGAGAAACCACACGTTATCAAGGAAACCCTAAGAAGAGGGAATGAAATCAGCCATGGCATGCCTGTGATCCCAGCACCTTGGAGGCCACAGCAGAAACACCACCAGTTCAAGGACAGCCTATCAGGGACCAGGAGGAAGAGAGTACAGAGGGCTTACTAAAGTACACGGCACTGGGAGGAAGAGAGTACAGAGAGATTACTAAAGTATAAGGTATTGGCACACGAACAGACAATAGAGTAGAGGAAAAAAGATAGTCCAAAGATAAATTATGTCATGCTGGGGATCCAGTGCAGGGCGAAAGCAACATTTAGAATTCATTGGGAGAGGCTGGAGAGATGGTTCAGTGGTTAAGAGCATTGCCTGCTCTTCCAAAGGTCCTGAGTTCAATTCCCTCACAACCATCTGTAATGAGGTCTGGTGCCCTCTTCTGGCCTGCAGGCATACACACAGACACAGAATTATGTATACATAATAAATAAATAAATATTTTTTTTAAAAAATAATTCATTGGGAGAAACTAGGAGAGTCAGTGAATGATTTGTTTACAACTGGGTGATCAATAAGATGAAGGGGAGAAAGAAGTCAATCCTTTCTCATTCTTTACCCTCAAAGTACATCTGAATGTGGTCAAAAAGTTAAAGAAAAAATGCCATACAGCTTTAGATAAGGAGGTAATTTAAGAATATCTAGTAATATTGTAAATATCCAGACTTCACACCCAGAAGTTCCAACCTGTAGAATTGGTGCTAGAGAAATACTTGAAGAGATGCAGAGATAAGACAGTGATTTTTTTAAACTTTATTATGGCTTGGAAAGAGAAAAGTTGGATTTGATTTAAATATCCACCAGTACTTAGTCAGAGCTAAGTAGATTTTGACATATCTCATGAAGTTTACACTATTCAGTTAAAAAGAATGAGTTAGGTGGACATGGCTTACACAACTGTGATTTCTTGAAGCTGGGACAGAAGGATCATGAGTTTAAGGTGGGCCTAGGCTGTAGCAAAACCATGCCTCAAACATCCACAAATAAATAAGACTGTACCAATAGCTCATGAGTTAAAAACCACTGGCTGCTCATCCAAAGGACTGGAGTTGGATCCTCAGCACCTACATGGCAGCTCACAAGCCTTGTAACTCCAGTCCCAGGAGATCTGATGCCCTCTTCTGGCTTCTGGCACTGCATGCACATAGACATACCTGCAGGCATAACACCCAGACGCATAAAATAATGCAATTCAAACAAAAATAAATGATATTAGTATTCTTTGCAGTTAAAAAACAATAACTAATATGTAATAGTAAATATTAAAATGAAAACTTGCACGTAGGCTGGGCTTGGTGACATACGCTTTCAATGTCAACATTCCAGAGGCAGAATGCCACATAGTGAGTTCCAGGTCAGCCAGGACTATGCAGTGAGATCCTATCTAAAAAACAAAAGCAAAAAACAAG